AAAAATAAATTAGTTCTTGCTGTTTCACGTTTTTGTAAGGAATTAGTCTAATTACATTACAGTTAAGTCTTCGAACTATTGTTAAACAATGGTGTACCATATGGAAAGATAATAATATTAGATCATTAAATATGATCTTACTATGATTAATGTTATTATAAATGTTGGTTTAGGTATATAGCCTCCATCGAATAGAAACATTCTTAACACCACGGAAGAAAATTAAGTTGGGCCATGATAACTGTTTGCATCTGAATCTTACATATACTGTTGCACACTGATTCTAGAAAGCTCCACCTGAATTGCTAATACACACACACATACACACAGATTCATACTGCAACACAATAAATCAAATTACTTACACAAGGTAATTTTTCTAGTTTTTAGAAATAGAATTACTGAAAGATACTCATAGCTACATTATCTTCTATGTTAAACAGAATAATTAATTGTGTTTTTCTACCAAATATACAAGAATAATTACAGACACAAATAGTAGTAGAAGAAGAGGATGAGATAATTATCATAACACCGAGAAAAAAATTAATAACTTTCTCTTAAAATTATATTTTCTGCATACCACCCTATTTTTTGATGGGCCTTTTCTTACCTTGCATTATAATCTACTATTATATTCTGAAGAAGAACATGGCTTAAGTCATGCAAATTATGTGTTTTCAGTCATTCCTCTGCCTAATAAATGACTTTTGCTACTCTCTTCACCAAGCATATCTGTGATATTTTTAAATTTATTTTTCTCAAACCACTAGAGCATAGTTCACAGTAAGTCCTGAAATAACTAATTTGTGGCCAAGCTATTGACATCTATGGCAGTTTCCACAAATATCCATCTGAAATCCTGCTTTGCTATCACATTTATTTTTTCACAAGGATGTTCTGACATAGCTCTTATCTCCATTACATTGATACAGCAACTCTGAAACTGGTTTTGGAAACTTCAGTCACTACTAATTCTTATTGAAATTTTAAGTCTATGACTCACACTTGTACTTGTCCTGCCTTTAAAACAATGAAATAAGATAAAGACATAAACTAAGTTAGATGGCTAGTCACTTTATTTTCTTTGCCCATGTATTATATGGGCAAACACAAATTCATCTGGTATCAGATAAACAGCAAAGTTGCTTTAGAGACTTTCTTTCCTTCCCTGTTTTCTTCCATTTAGTATATCCATCTTCCTTCCAATCAGCACTCTGTAAAATATAACTGGATATAACCATACTCTGAAACTGCTACCTGGCTTCCTTTGAATTCAAGTCCTACTTCACTGAATTGTATTATCACTGGGAGAATTAGCTCTTTAAAGAGCTCCACATTTTGTTCTTCTTGTGGCTTCCCTACAACATAGTCCTTGGATCCAAATTCTCAGCAATCACCTTTTGTCGTAATTTGTACCAGCCATATACTAAACACTATCACGCCTTTTGAAATAATGCTTTAGTCCTTCAGAAATCTAAAGGCTCACTTTTATTTTTTTAATCCCTTGTAGTAATATAAGTTGATACAAGCAAGAACAAAAGCAAACTGTTAAAAACAAGATGCCCAAACATGGCTATTTAATTAAAAGAATGCTCATGAGACTAGATAGAACTCCACAGACAGCTAGGAAAGGAGGAGGAAAAGGCCAATAATGGAAGTCCTTAAAGAAAAAGGAAGAGGTGACAGAAAGTCTAGGCCAGTGTTTCAAAATACTTTGATCATGTACATGAATCGGTTTAAAAAATAAAATGTGAAGATAAACCTGCTAATTATCTATTCATTTTTAATTATATCCATGTACTTTCATTGTTAGCTAACCTATCAAGGCATGATACAAACCTCGGGTAAAAGTCGTCATTCATAACAGATGGACAGTTTAAATATCTGATTTCAAATAACTTTTACATTTTCAATTTTTTTGTATTACTTCTTATTGGATCAGATCATGTTAGTTTTTAAAAGGTATAATAAAACCTATTCTAAAACTTATTCTAAAACTAGAGGAGTCATTTTTCCCAAGGTTTGTTAGCATTTGCTTACATTATGTTTACTTTTGCACACTGTCCATTTGAAAACAAACACATCTCCACTTGCTGAGAATTTGTTTAGTTACAATGGAATAATAGGATTGCTATCTTGCTTAACAGGAGTATGGAAACTGGAAGCTGGAACATGATACATTACAGTGAAAGCAAATGTGTGATAAAGGATCCACTATATTCCATGTTAGAGCTCACCTACCCTTCCCTCAGCATACCTTACAAAGCTGCACGTGACCACAATGACCTTCGTGATGGGGGTGAGTCTGTCTGTATTTTAAATACAAAAAGGTTACATTTATTTCTTATCTCCAAGAACAAAATGATATGAGAGTCTAATATATTCCACACACTACAATGCATCACCTCAACTACCTCTCAGGGAGTGTGCCCCCAACTTTGGAAGCTCCTGAGGTAATGGAGTAGTTGCGAAGGATTGTAGAGAAGAAAATTTCAGCTCTGTTTTCCCTGACCTAACCCCATTTTCTCCCTCCCTCTCAAGTTACAACCCCTTTTCAGAGTCACTCTAAAGCCTACCTGGTTCAAGTTTCAGCTTTCAACTATAGTCTTGGAATGAGGAAGGATTGCCTCTATCTGTACAGAAGTTGGACTGGAAAAGAAGTAGTGAAGTGGGGAGATTATAGTCCAGAGTTGAGGGTGAGACCGTCCTGGCATCTCATTTTTAACTTCTGAAAGCATTTTCCCATACTACAGTTATGTATTAGTAATATTCTATAGAATTGTTTCTTGAGGTAATTTATGGGCAAATTGTTTGTGACCCAGTCTATGCGCCTAACTCCTTAAAGCACATTAAAGCATCTTTCTAGTTTTAAACAATTGAGCTTAATTACACATTTTAGAAACAAATCCCATTCATAAATGACAAGTTGCACATATACAGAACTTCAGTTCTTAGGCCAGTTGAGAGTTGAAAACAGCTTTACAGTGAAATTTTATATTGTGGAGTTTAATTGTGAGTGACTGAACATGCAGTACGATATGAACTATTCACCTTTTCTGCAACAGTGTTATGACATAACCTGGTTTAAATAAGACAGTTTTAACCACATAGTAGTTAAATGACTTTTGATATGACACTAATAAAAGCCTGTCTATGTTAGAGATGCTTAGGCTTTTACTCCTTTGTTTATTTTGAGAATATTAATCATTGTACTAAACTAATAAAAGAAAATTGTGGGTTTAAAGTTTCCATTAAAAAGTCCTTATCTTCACCATGAACTAGCATGATAAATGCCTAGAAAGCATCTCTGTCTATCCTAGTGGGATTTATAGTGAACAGAAGAGACACAGATAGGCCATGTCATGAAAGCAGAAATATAAAGGACCTCAAATTAGTGAATTATAACAATCAAAAGTACTTTTAATGCTGTTTGGAGAGATATCAATAAAATATGAATTATTTGGGAAGGAAGATACAATCCATTCTAATGACAAATTATCTCAATGGATTTTTTGTTAGGATAAGGACTAATAGTGGCTTCAACATTTACTCTGTGTTAGACATTGTCATAAATGCCTTATGCTTACGAAGGTATTTAAACTAAAAACCATCCCACTAGGTAGATAGGTATTATTGTTTCCATTTGATAGTGAGGAAGAGAAAAGCGCAGACATGTTAAGTAATTCGCCAAGTGCACCCAGTTAGTGAAACAAAACACTATTAACAAAGCATGATTTTAAACACTTTGCTGATGTAGGATATATGCTGTTCAGGAAGCTGAAAATCATTTCTGAGAAATTCAAAACATCGAGTCAATGCTAAACATTTTTTAGAGCAAAGAGAAGGTGGAACAGGGGACAAGGAGATGGAAGAATCCTTCAACAGTCATTATTGTATCATTAATGCTCTCATTCAGCAAACCTTTATTAAGTACCCACTGTGTGCCAGGAACCAGATAACTCAGTGCCAGAAATACAAAAATAATGTACTTGTCCTTGGGAAGGTCTCCGCATCGTAGAAGAAATAGAAATAATTGCCATAAAATATGGTAAGAGGCAATATATGTATACACTAACTGCTATAATATCATCCCCCTCCAAGAGGAACTTTACAATGAATGGAAAGTAACACACTTCTAAATAAAACTGTGGAAGAGCAATTCAGTAATCAGTGAGATACAGTTAATCACAGAAAACAGTCTATAAAAGGTGAATTTTGCTATGTTTTTAAAGAAAGGATAAGAAGGTGAAATTGGTAGAGAAAAATAGGGCCTTCAAGAAAATATTTCTGTTGAAAGATAGGGCATGTACAAAGTAAGACAGGAGACAGTCCCTCTGTCCTTTGAGGAAAAAAATACACAAAGTGTCTGCTGCCTACTTTCTCCTGCAATCCATCTAACTGATATTCTTCAATTCTAAAATCCCCTCATTGGCAAATTATTTTTCAGTTGCATGCAATTACTTATTTTAGTTTTAAATATTGGAGGAAAAATATTTATTATTCATTTTAAATAATTAATAGAAATGTATAGAAGATATGGTAGCAGTCTATGTAATGTAGTCAATCTAAAGAACACACAAACTGGAGATGTATTTAAAGTTATACTGGGCACCTTTCATATGGGTATGGTTTGAGGATTATCTGAGCTTTGAGTTTCAAATTACTTTTCATAAATAAACTGTAGATCACCCTCCATAAGACAGATACCTCATTACCATACATACAATATCTTACTGGAAGTAGCAGTTCCATAAACCCAACAAGGCTCAAGACCAATATGAACAACAGAAGTCAATATTTAGGCAAGGCAGGTAGTGCTAGGATCAGAACAAGTACCTTTAGCTGGAAGTCAGGGTAGATGGGAAAAACAGATACAAACTGTAATTTGTCATTTGTATGACCTGTATCTAGTTCAGGATATTACACTTTATCTGTAATCAAGTAAGAAAAAAAATGATAAATCTGATGTTTGGGAAAGTGCAGAGAGTTTATTTTACCTTTGTTTTTATCCATAGGACCATCTTTATTATCATGTTTTCATTGTTTAATTCCTGAGGATAAAGACAAAATAATAAAATCAGGCTTCTGAAATTGAAACTAATTTTAGATTTTTTGTTTTCCATTTAAACACTAATGTTGAAAAGCAGACCACTGCTCCACATCCCAGTGATCCAAACACTTAGGCCATCATCTTTAAATGATTTTCCTTATTTACCAGAAACTTTTAACAGGTTTGGGTTGGGTCATTTTATTTCTCATTCTCTTAATGCATTATCTTTATAGTTCTTCCTTGGTGATAATTAATAAATAATATTTTGCTCTTCTTGAATGGTACACCTTTATATATTTAGAATATATACCATCTATATGCTTGACATTTGGGGGATCTTGTCTAATTTTCATAGGAAAAAGAAAAATCTGGCTTGCAGGGTGTTTAGAGTACAGTGATGACAGACTTGATGCCAATTTCACAAGCATTGCAGCCTGAATCATAGGCTGTACTATAAACGGCAGCATATGGCTGGAGAGTCATAGCAGCAGGATAACGTGGTAGTGCCCAGATCACAGCTGTAGGCACACAAAGAAAGTTTTGATGCTGGTATCCATATCCCTCCTTCTCATCAACAACAAAAAGGATGACTACTTAAGATTCTGTTGTCTTAAAGGCTTTATTAAGTTATTGCCCAAGGTAGGAAAGGGATATTATTGTCTACATATGTTTGCCAGAATCATGTAGCTTCTCTATTCTGGCTTTCCTAGCAGGTGTCTCTTTAAGTACTTATTCTAAATGGAACACAACTGGGAGACATCAGAAAGGGCACTGTTGACAACTGTCATAGCAGGTTCCAGCTTGAATGGTAACTGAGCAGAAGGTCTCTCTCCAGAGTACTTCAGATCATTCTAATAGCAGCATCATTTCCACCAGGAACCCAGCTTCTACCAGAAAAGAGTGCTGGGAAATGGTGCTTCTGGTAAAATCTGATCTCCTCACTGGAATTGCTCTATCCCACCAGATTTCGTATGGAAAACAGCTATGAGGCAATTAAAAGAATGCTGATTTTAAAGGCAAAAATGTAGTATTTAGAGGAAGTACATACTGCAGACGGATGTTAATAATGTTAAGTGAAAATTTGCTAAATAGTTTTTCTTACCTGTTTTATATCCTTTAAAATACTTCAAAGCCTTTCATAAGTGAAAAGAAACACTAAAATTTTCAACTGTTTAATTAGACATAGTAAAGATTAATTTACCAGATAATAGAAATTATGTTTTCAATGTATAGTTTCAGGTTATTGATAGTTTGTTATCATCTTGAATTATAATTTTTGTTAGTTTAGAGTTTTGTTGTTGCTGTTATTGTTGCTGTCACTGACCGTAAGAAAATAGGAGAATTATGTTCAGATGCTGAAATTCAGGAGCCAATTTAAATGATAATTTTCAGATAGATCTTGTAAGGTATTTAGGGTGAAGTAACTCTGCAAACTAAAATTGAAAAAAAAAAAAAAAAACACTGCTTTTTCTCCTTGCTTACTATTATCCATCTGCAAAATAAAAGCAATTGCAATTTCTGCATGACTGCAAGAAAAATAGATACTATTCCTTAGTGTGCTATTTTACTAGTTTCTTAAAGGTACCTATTGTGCAGATATATGTGTTTAAAATGTAAAATTTATTATGAGAGATTCACATATGTTCCTATTTCAGTTCTTCTACATAGGCTACAAAATACAATTATTCAGACTTCTTTTGTAGAAGTATGTGAATTATAGATCATAGATTTATATATGGATTGCTTCTTTTCTTAGTTTATGCTACTTATTATGTTCTATAAGAATATGTATATTATATATAATTGTATAATATGTAATTTCATAAGAATACATATAATATACATATGTAACTATATGTAAATGTATATGATTTTTGGCCTTAACTTCATATATATGTACATAAATGTATGTATATATGTGTATATATGAATATATGTATATTTATATATGCAAATGTATTGAGTTATTAAGGCCAAAAATCACATATATATTTATATACAGTTACATAGGTATATATACACATAAAGTTATGAAGGCAAAAAATCATATACATTTGTATTTATAAAGAATATACATTTTATTTATAAGGAACAACACAAAATTATCTTTTATTCTAGTGCTGAATATCCAAATTTGGGTGGCAAAGAAAGACATGATGTTTGTTTTGTTTTGTTTTGACAAGTTATAAGTATTGAGTTTAAATAAAATATCAGTATCTGAGCAAAGAGGTTAAATCCAAGACAAAATGAAACAAAAACCTTAGAGTTTTCACTTCCGTGAGTGTCACTGACTTGGAATGCATGCAAGATGGACCCTGGGCAAACTTTCTCATAATTATGTTTTTCCATTACTTTAGTAACTGAATGCCCTTGTATAAATTCCAATGAAACCTTGCATCACATTTCATTGAGAAAATAAAAGACATTTGAAACTCCTTCATATTTTATCCAAAGTCTGTAAATCTACATGGTTCTGAAACTATTGTTTCTATTATCTTATTCATTATAAACAGTGAAGATATCTCTCTTCCTATTGAAAGTCCATATAACCATCTGTGTTCTGGAGCCCATTCCCTTCCTTCTACCTTATGTTTTCTCAAAGGCTTCTTTCTCCTGAATCTTCAGCATTCTTCTCTAATAGAATATTACAACATGCAAATATCCTACAGTGACTCTCATTTTAAGATAAAACAGCCAAATATACATCTCCTTCAAGATATCTACTTTCTATTCTCTCATTCATGTCCAAAATTCTTATCCCCCCTTACAACTCCAAACCCTACAGTTTCTAAGACCACCAATAACCTCTGTGTCTGTCAAATCACAAACACTTTTCTGTGCTCATTTTACACGATTTGTCTGACTATGTTATATTTGAATCTCCTTTTTTTTTGTATCTTGCCTATTCCTCTTTTTTCTCTCTAGCTTTGCCCACTCCACCATCTGCTATTTATCTTCTCCTATCCCTCCACCTTTTTCTCTTTCTTTCCTAATTCTCTATTTAACTACTGACTGATGAAATTTCTCATAGTTCAGCGCTCAATACTTTTCTGTTCTCAAGATGATATATTTTATTCCTATTGTTTCAAATACCATTTATGTAGCAATGACACTAACTTAAATTATCCATCTATCTCTACCTATCTATCTAGCTGTCTCTCTCTCTCTCTCTCTCTCCCTACCTAGCTACCTACCTACCTACCTTTCACTTCTGATCCTTCCATCACCTTGTTCCTTATTTCACTTTTTGATCTCAATGAAGGCAAAATTCGTTTTCATTTACTCATGTTCCCAAACTAGGGGACATTCTTAAAGCCTCTATCTCCCTCACCACCCCCATTCAATCCATCCAGAGATGATCTTCATCACACACACACACATACACACAAATGACTCAATCCAAGTCTAAGTCCATTTCCCACAAGGCAGACAAGGTAATCTTGTAAAAGTATAATGGGATTATGCACTCCTCTACCTAAAATGATTTTTCATCTAAAATCAGATAAACATTTATTATCTTGGCCAATTTCTAACCAATCGAATCTCTGCCCTGTGTTCTAGAAGTTTTTATCTATCCTTCAGATCACAATTTGAATATTACTTTCTACAAGATACTTCTTGATTTGACATAAAGTTGGTCCCTTTACCCTTTCTCCTATGTTTTTACTTTTCCATTACAATCCTTATCACAATTTATAATCGTATCTTCCTTTGCATACTCACTTTAAAGGAGATCTGCTCCTTTAAAGGCATGTGGCACCCCTGCCCCACTCACTCTCTTGTCTTGCTCCTACTTTCACTATGTGAAGCCCCTGCTCTGGCTTCACCTTACACCATGTGTGAAAGTTATCTGAGGTCTCCCTAGAAACCAAGTGATGTCGGCCCATGCTTGTACAGCCAGCAGTGAGTGCTTGAGCCAGTTAAACCTTTATAAATTACTCAGTCTCAGGTATTTCTTTATAGCAATGCATAAAGAAATGCTCACTTATTTAAAATTTTATCAATTGCTAATTTTTAAGATTCATAAAAATTTTGTTTTGTTTTGTTTTGTTTACTATTTTATATCCTACTCCTTGCTTAGTAATTGGCACCCTGTAGGAGCTTATAAATATTTGTCAAATAAACAAATCTTCTAGCTAAACCTTTTAAGTAGTAAAGACCCATTAGGGTGAACTTTAGTATAAATCTACAATGAAATAAATAAAATACACATAAAAACATGCATGCTGATTCCAAGTTGTTTTATATGCTATATTTATTTTATCACAGCCTTTGTGCAATGCCTATTAAAGTAAGCTCCATGTGTTTTTCATAAAATCTATTTTAAACGTGTACTATATTCTACATGTTATATCTATTAACAGAATACACAAATAAATAGAATATATACTGCCCATAGAGACACTTACAGAATATGATAAAATAAGACTAAGCATAAAAAAGTAAAAGGTAGGCTAGTCGCTGTGGCTCAAGCCTGTAATCCCAGCACTTTGGAAGGCGGAGACGGGCGGATCATGAGGTCCGGATGTGAGACATTCCTGGCTAACACGGTGAAACTCCGTCTCTACTAAAAATACAAAAAATTAGCCGGGCGAGGTGGCAGGCGCCTGTAGTCCCAGCTACTCGGGAGGCTGAGGCATGAGAATGGTGTGAACCCAGAAGGCCCAGCTTGCAGTGAGCCGAGATCCTGCCACTGCACTCCTGCCTGGGCGACAGAGCTAGACTCCGTCTCAAAAAAAAAAAAAAAAAAAAAAGTAAAAGGTAATTCATTTATACTAAAAAAAAAAAGTACTTCAGCAGGATTTAGTTTTTCTTCATTACTATAATTGCTTATCTGAAATTTGATTCAATTTCAACTTACTGAATTATTACATCTTATTAGATCCTATTAATTCTACAATTTCTAGCAAAAAGAAAAAAATTTAATTAATCAAATTCTTGCTATTCTATAAAGCTCTTTACTTATTGAAGGCAACCTATGTTTATATACTTTCCTGATTT